AGTTGCTACACTAGCTTCGGCGGTGTCAGTATTTTTGTGCTCATTTTTTCTTTCTTTATGCTTGTCTTTATTTTTCAGTTTATAGCATTCAGAAATATTGTGATCTTTCTTATGACAATAGCGACACTGTAAATTATTATATCTGGATATGGAGTCGGATTTGCCCCTAACAAACAAGCCAACTTCCGCTTGAGTTCCACTAGCTTCCCTAGTAATATCACTATCTATCTATTCTTTTGATTTTAAGATAGATTTAATATCCTTATAAGAGATATTATCCTTTGCATAAAGTATAGTATCTCTTATATGCTTAAAAGATGGGGGTAGAGAACAAAGCAGTAACACGGCTTGATCCTCATCTTTAATTTTAGCATTTATATTACTCAAATCCATAAGAATGGAATCAAAAGTGTCAAGATGAGAGAGAATAGAGGTACCTTCACCCATACGGATTGTATAAAGCTTCTGCTTCAGGTAAAGTCTATCTTCCACCGTCCTCTTCATATATAAGGTTTTCGATTTTTCCAACATGCCTTTGGCTGTGATTTCTACAGAAACTTCACGTAAAACCTCATTTGAGAGATTTAAAATGATACATGCTTTTGCCCTTTTGTCTATGACTACAAACTCCACATCCGTCATTTTATCCGGCTTATTCTCATTTCCTTGTAACGCCAAGTCTAAGCCATCCTGAATTAGGATAGCTTTCATCTTTAATTGTCATATTTCGAAGTTTGCACTTCGATCAAATTTCTCAACATAGGTCTTTGTTAGAGTCATTTTGGCTATTGAAACTAACCCGGTTAGATCCGGCTCTGATACCAATTTGTTAGGATCGGGAACCCGGATAGTACGAAATATAGCCAAACAACGGTATAATGAAAATAACAAAGACAATGGAAGTTGATAACGACGACAATTAAAGTAGATAAAGAAGACACAAATTTAACGTGGTTCGGTCAAAGTGACCTACGTCCACAAGCGGATAGGGACAATTTACTATAACAATAAGAGTACAAAAAAGAGTACAAAATTAGAATAAATACTCTAATTAATCCCAAATACCCTAAGGGAACAACCTCACAAGATCACTTTAAAGAAAGGGTTCACACAAGTACTTCCCAACACTAACTCTCATACAAAAAACTCTTAATAAAGGAAGAAAAGAAGAAACAAGAAATGAAGACTCAAGTCTTGTTGGTGTGTTTCCAAATGAGTAAAGAGTCCTCATTATATAGGGAAGAGAAGAAAGAAATGCTTGGCCAACAATTGGCCACATCCTCTCAAAATACAAAACTATTTATTTGGCCAATAAGGCCTTAAATAAAAGGCTTCAAATATGCCAACAAGGCTCACAAATAAAAAGCCTAAAAATATGACCACCTTTTACATATATTAACTTTAGATCGTTCTAGAAATCCATAAACTTAAACATCTGAATCTGCCACTGCACATAGTACAAATATACAAGAAGCATTATTACGCACATGTTGCACTTTTTTCTTTTCTTTTTGGCATTACATCAATTCATGATTGAACACTTATTACAAGTTAAAAAGTTTGATTTCAAAGTAGATTATCACAGTAGAGTGCCCTCGGCTGGAGCGGGTGAGCCGGGAAGTACAACGGGAATATCTGGAGGTTGAGGTTCAAATGGGCCAGATGCAGATCCTGCGCCTAGGCCTAGAGGAGGATCACGACGGCCTAAAGCCCAACTTCGTCTGCCTACACAGTCTTCCAAGGCCCAACAGCAGCATAGGAAATAGAAGCTACCACAACACACAATAAAAAAGTTAAATGTTAGTATTAGTAGCAATCTATGTCTCGTGCATAGAAATGCTTAAGCGCCCTTTGGTTTGACTAGAAAAACTTATCTCAATTCCTGCAAAATCTTGACACTTATATTTTAGAAGTTTATGGTTTTCTACCACCATCACGATCTCAAGTTATATATATAATAATAATCGAGTAAAATATTTACGAGCGAATTTCTTAATACATATACGTTATCCAGACAAAATTAGGAGCAGCTCCTAAGTTACATGAACTCATAAGTGACACTCTAGATCTGCCCCTAAGCGTGAGGCTAGCTAACTACAGTGTTGTTTCAATTTTCAAGGTGAGGTGACCTGTATAGATCCCCTGCGTTTTATTTACTGATCAAAACAGTTGTAATAAAATACAAAAGTGAGTCTCCCTTTGTTGTGGTGGAACAAAAAAAATCTCCATTTGTTGCTTCTTTACTTAATTATTGATCCTCTATATCGTGACAACTTACCTATCCGAAAATATTCCCCAAAATATTAAAGTAAAAACAGATAAAATGAACGAACTTGCGTAAAAATACTAACATGAGGTTGATAGCAGTACTAACCAAGAAGAGAGGGCAAAGCACAAGTTAGAAAAGTAGCGACGAAAAAAACCAGAACCAACGGTACTATGATGATAGTGTTGATGTGTCCAACCAGGATCAGATCCTGGTCCAGCCATACTCGGAACATTTGGTGGTGCTGGTACGTACATCTTAATATTATTCTCCTCAAATCTTGTTAAACAAAACCAATCATAACAAGAAACTGAGACTTGGGTTTTATACAAACAGTGTTCGACTGTTTTCTCGTCTAAGTTACGAGGATGTCTTATCTGCTTATAGTATATGGATAGTGACGGAAAAGGCATGAGATCTTATCGTGGAAAGAAAGCGGTGGGAAATAGTTGATGCATATCCTTTAATGTTCCAAGTGTATTGCTTCCATGCATGCATATCCACGTATAGTATTCTCACCTTCCTTTTTTATTTTTTTATTTTTTATAATAAAACTATGATATTCAAAACTACCCTACGCATGCTGTAATTTCACAAAATATCTTATTCCAAAATTGGATAACAATTAAATTTATACGCAGTTTAAATGATACGTGGTTTAGTTCAATACGAATAATTAACACTAATAGATAAATAAATTAAAGATGAAATAAACGATCAACCAATCGCAATATTAAGACCACGACTGATCTTAGATTGAACAGTGAGCTGGTCCTCGATTGAACCCTCGGTTCAAACCCAGTCGCGAATAAAGAACAGAATGAGTGAGTAATGCCTTTAACAGCAGAGGCGGATCCAGGATTTAAACTCTATGGGTTCAACTTTTAAATTTTTTTGATTGAACTCATTATATTTTTAAAGTTATGGGTTCATATCTACTATTTTTTGTAATATTAATGAATTTTTACATATAAATTTTTACTATGCGTCGAATGTTATGGGTTCAATCGAATCCATCGAGTATACCCTACATCCGCCCCTGTTTAACAGTAGCTAGAAGACAAAAGTAAATATTTATTGCTTTGAATTGCTAGTATAAGTCTAAAAGGGTAAAAATCTTCTTTTTCCGATAATTGTTGATCCATAATCGATATCAAACGAGATCTGCATCGTGATATTCGATTGATGGCGAATATTACGGCCCTCTATCTGGGAATGTCGGGCATACGAAACCTTATTTTTGGGATCGGTTTTGTGCCGTGCTCTGAGGAAAAGGCTTCTGAATAAATTTTTTGGAGTCCGGTACCTTCAATATCGGGGTGCACTAGGAAGCACATCATTACTGGGAATCACTTTATTATTTTCACCGTGATGGCCTGATTTAGCGTCAACGTTCAAGTGAGTCGACTAAGAGTTTGACATTTTTAGGCTGGCCTGGATTTAAGATTTCAAAGAACAAGCGTAAAATAGGGTGTGTTATGATGATTTGTATTAAATCCACTATTATCTTTAGCCCCATGGTGGGCGCCAAACTATTTATCCCAAAATTGGGTAACAATTAAATTTGTACGTTGTTTAAAGGATACGTGGTTTAATTCAACAAGAATAATTAAGAATAACATATAAATAAATTAAAGACGAAATAAACGATCAACCCAATCGTAATGTAAAGACCAGGATTGATCTTAGATTGAATAATAAGGTCATCCTCGATTGGACTCTCGGTTCAAGCCCAGTCGCGAATAAAGAACAGAACAAATGAGTAATGCCTTTAGCAGTAGCTAGAAGACAAAAGTAAACATTTATTGTTTTGAATTGCGTGTTACAACGTGTAAGACCAAAGAAAAACTTCTCTTTTATATAGTAGGAGAGTTTCAATCCTAGTATTAGTCTAAAAAAGGTAAAAATCTTCTTTTCCCGGTAATTATTGATCCATAATCGATATCGAACAAGATTCATGCCGTGATATTCGGTTGATGGCAAATATTACGGTCCTCTATCTGTCATGCACAACCGTTCACCGTGTCTCCCAAGGTCTAGAACTTATACTCGGTTTGGGGTGCATCGCCTTACCATGCCCGATGTCGGATATATCGTTCACTCTTCCTGGGTCTCGATACGAAGAGTCTCTGATCTCGATTACGATTTTGCGGATTCGTGCTCCTCTTTCGTTCTCTCATCGGGCAATCGGGATAGACATTGCCCCGATTTTACCCATACATATTTATATCTTCTGCCAACACAATTATCGAATAATTTTATTCACCAAAACTTAAACTAGATGAGAAAAGACGATAAGGCAGGATCACCTAAAGTACTTTTGCCTCTTATGAGGTTTAAACCTGAGGCCTTCGGGTATCTCACCTTCAACTTCAAATCAAACATAACGCATGTAAACCGTGGGCCAGTGGGATAACAAACTGTTTTATCTCGTATTTTTCATGAGAAAAAAAAAAAAAAAAAAAGACGGGTTATGTTTTTTTCTAGTTTAATAATTGACGTCTAACTGGATAATAGTGGACTAGTAGTTAAATAAGTTCAATCACGAAAAATAATTACATTAACCCTGTGATTTTGCATTATAGATGTTAATTTACTACATAAATAAGTGATAAAAATTGAATTGAACAGAAAAGACATATTAGTGGAGGACCCCCTGAATACACCAAATAATATTTCTTCTCAGTAGCATATGATGGACCGTTTGACTACTTCAGTAACATACTAATGTTTTCTTTTTTCCTATGTACCAAATTAAGTTTACTCGATTTAATCTTGTATCGAGAACTGGACTCCCATTAATATCTTCATAAAGATAGGGGTTTGTAGTTAATATGGATCTGTAGCTAAATGGAAGTGTTAAAATTAAAAGAAACTTCAGACAGTCCTAGAAATTTTATGTCATACAAGTGTTGAAAGTTAGGAAAATGGAAGTGTTCAAACTGCAGCCACGAGTTCATGAAACAATAAAAATGGAAATTTATAAATAATTGCTCCATCCAATCCAATTTACGTAACCCTATGATATTTTTTATTTTAAGAATGACCTATTTTCTAAATTTGAAAAGAATTTAACTTAAATTTTCATTTGACCCTTACTAAAAAACTTTTATAGCTCCACATATGACAATGGTATGTTTAAGACCAAAAATTGTCAAAAAACTTGTAATTACATAAATGTTATGACATGTAACATGTTTAACACAACAAGTATCAATAATCTTTTCTTCTTTTTTAAGCTCCATGTCTAGTCATATAGATTCAAAACAACCTGAGCACGAACTAGTACCTTCTGGTTTTGTTGCAGCCACCCACCCACAGATCATGCAATTAAAGAATTGCACACAATAGTCTCTACTCATTCTCATGTAATCATTAATGTACTCATTCACTAAGAATAGGAGAAGAATGACAAGATTTACTTTTACAGTAAGGATTGCCACTTAGTCCAATCCAAGGAGCAAACACAACTTATAACTTTTCATCATACTGTGCTCTTCAACTCTTCTCACAATCTTACTCAACAGGTGCGGAGTCCAGAGGCATCAGAAATTATGAACTGGGATACCAGGGAATTCATTAAGGAGATACATTTAAATAGATCAAGATATCGAGTGTAGATCTTGCAAGAAAAATGGAAGACAACATTATTTCAAGTCATAACTATGTGGGCAGTCTTTCTCTTTTTCACCTTTTCTTGAGCTGAGGGTCTACGGAAACAGCCTCTCTACCACCAGGTACGGGTAAGGTCTGCGTACATACTACCCTCCCCAGACTCCACTTGTGGGATTAGACTGGGTCAGTTGTAGTTGTTGTACTATGTGAGCAGAACATGCAAATGTAAAAGGATACAACATTTCTGAGATTGTTTATTAGGCTTTTCATTGATCTAAACAGAGTCTGCTAATATGAAGAAACAAAATTTACATGTACAATAATGAAAAGATTCTCATTATCCAAAAGAATACAAAGGAGAAATACTACGATAAAAATGCTTTTTTACCTCTCTATGCTGTTGAGAAGCTTCTTGATTTACGTATAGGACAAATAATCTGTAAATTTTGCAGCTCCTTCAAGTATACCAATTATAGAATATCACATCATTCATTAGACTTTACATGCTTTCTTTTCCTTTCTTGTTAGAATCCTTCTTTGATGGCTTTGTCTTTCTTCTTGGAGCACCAGTGGCAGGTTCCACCAATGGGCCGGACCACGTTTGGATCGGTTCTTTTGAATATGAGAAATTCATGGATGTGAATGGGACTTCTGACGGTTCATAGCCTGGATCAATGTGATGTGAAGAACCCAAGGTATAACCTAATGTTCCATCCTGGTGTGGGGGAGGAAACTTTTCACTCTTGCTCTTCGCGTTTGCTTGTGTTACTAGACGCCGCCTCTGTTTAAGCAAGTTAAGCAAAAGTCAGTAACAACAAGGCCAGAATGCACTAAAGAAATAAATCGGAGGATTGAACGAAAATGGAATTATATAGCCCTTCCGACGTTCAAATTTATATGATAATTTCTATTTTCCAAATGTAAAAATGTTGACCCCATTCCACCAGTAATACTATTTATTACAACTCCTAAAGTTTTGAGAATTTAAATTCATCAAAGAATCAAGTTTAAACTTCGATGTGTGTTTTCTCTATCAAACAACAACAACAACAACCCAGTATAATCCCACTAGTGGGGTCTGGGAAGAGTAGTGTGTACGCAGACCTTACCCCTATCCTGGGGTAGAGAGGCTGTTTCCGATAGATCCTCGGCTCCTTCCCCCTCCAAGAACTCTCCACCTTGCTCTTGGGGTGACTCGAACTCACAACCTCTTGGTTGGAAGTGGAGGGTGCTTACCACTAGAGCAACTCACTCTTGTCAAACTAAGTCAAATTAACATTTTAAAAATTGTGCACCGTCAAATGTTATGACATAAAATAAAACCGAGGGAGTAGTATTTCCAGACGTTGTAACATGAAAACAAGCACTTGTTTGCTAATTTAATTGGAAAGGAATATTGTGTATAAAATGTAAAACTACTAGGAAATGCAATGACGGAATTTGACAATCATGTCAAATGCGAAACTACTAGCAGACAACCCTCTCTTCCAACTACTAATCATTGACAAGCAATATATTGACCAATTTGGCGTGTAATTAGCCCAATGCAAAAAAGACGAGGTATGTTGGAGAAATGTACACTTCAGAATCTCAATAGCTTTTACTACTTTCCTAATTATAAGATAATAAGATGGCAACACAGAGAAACTATTCAATCAACAACAACAACAAACTACTTTCCTAATTATAAGATAATAAGATGGCAACACAGAGAAACTATTCAATCAACAACAACAACAAACTACTTTCCTAATTATAAGATAATAAGATGGCAACA